CTCGTGAAAATGCTCAGATGTTTGCAGTAGGCACATGGCACGACTGTCCTGTTAACCATGGTGCTCCGTGACCAGCAACCCCACAAACCCACAGCTCAGGCAGCACCAATGCCTGCAACGTCAGCACTCCTCCCTCCAGCCCCCTTTAGCTTCACCCAGCTGGTTTAAATAGCGAGGAGAAATTAAAATTCTTCAAGCCTTGCAGGATGTTTGGATTTCTGCCCTTTATTTCCACTTCTGTGAGCCACGGTTTGAAAATGTGCCCATGATTTATTCATTCCCCAGTCCTATTGCTGTGTACACCAGCACCCAGGAGCGCCTGCTGAGCCCACAGCACTATGCCATGACCCATGCTGAACATCCCTTGGGAATACAGGCACACGGTGAACAGCTCGGGGCTCTTTATTAGCTGATTTCAGGCGATCTTTCCTGTTTTACGGCACAGCTCCTCCCCTCTTTCCAGATTTCTGCTATTCTTTCCTAATTCTAGTGATTTGAGAAATGACCTTTAACCCATGCAGTCTGCAGACTCCTAAAGGGGATAATTGAAATGCCACACTAAACCAAAGGCAATAAAATATTATTTACCAGGCATAAAACTCAGGTTGGCCTTCCGCACAGCAATGAACCCCTTTATTTCTCCCTCCCCCTGTACACCCACCTCCCAGTCCGGGTGCCCGGTGCCGCACCTCATTTACCCGAGGAGCGAACCCGGGATGCCCTATGGGGCAGCTCCCCTACACCGGGCAGCGAACGGAGCCGCAGTGCAGGACTGCGGGCGGACAAGAGCCGGGGGCTTGCGGTTGGAGGGGGCTTTGCCCGGGGGCAGCGCGTACCTGGAAGGCTGCACCGCGGCGAGGGAACAGCTGCAGCCCCGGTGCGTGCGTTCCCTCTTCCCCCCCATTCCCGTCGGACTGCAGAAGGGATTTTGCAGTGCAATGCATTTGAAGGAGTGAAAGCATTTATCGATAGCAGGGTCGCTCTCGCTGCCTATTGGGATTTCCCAGCGCTACTCTGATAATGTCCCCCCACGCGATCAGCAACGCCGGGCTCGGGCGCAAGGCAAAACTTTCGGCCGAGGGCTGCGGAGCGGTGAAAACGCTCTGAAATACAAAGGGGCCGCGGAGCCCTCGTCGCCTTCAGCTCCCATTGGCACAAGATTGAACCCGAACAGCTTTGTCAACAACCTGCCAAATTTACAGCGGAAAAAGACGCTGGAGAAGGAGGAACCCGAAACGTCGAGCCCGTTCCGTCCCCCAGCGTTTGGCGAACGGTACTCGCGGTACGCGACGCTGTGTCACGCACCGCACCGCACGGCCGCCGCAGCCCCCTCGGCCCGGCCATGTGCTCCGCGCACCGCCCGCACGTGGGGAGCCCCGCGGATACCGACGAAGGGATCGTGGCACGGGGCACGCAATGCCCACCCGTCCCGGAGAGGCTCTCTAGGGCAGCACTCAGCGCTGTCGCGCGGTGTCAACACCCGGGACCCGAAGGGCCGCTCAGTGCGGCTCGCCCCCCCAAGGCGCCCCGGTGCTGCAGCAGGGTCCCGCTCGCTGCCGTACAGCTTTAAAATGCAGCCCAGTCTGTAATAGGTCGGCTCCGAGCGCATGCGCTCCGCACGAAGTTTTTCAGCTGCCGTTGGCTTTCTAACTTTTTTTTTTCTTTTTTTTTTATTTTCTTTTTTTTTTTTTTTTTTTTTTTTTTTTCTTTTTTTCTTTCTTTTTTTTTTTTTTAAACACTTTTAAGCAGCGGGGCGAAGAGCAGCAAGGAGAGAGCCGGGGGGAGCCGGGCAACGCAGCGCGGGGCCGCCTGCAGCCCCACTCGCTCCGCGCGTCCCTCGCTGCCCGGCACCGCGATGGATTGGGGGAACCGCCGCCGCCGCTCCTGAAGCCCCGGACTTTTCCCCTCCCCCTGCCCTTACTCGCCGTGTAGGAGCAGTCGCCCCTAAGACAGACACACGCGTGCACAAGGGCCCCCTCCCCCGGTTCTGCAGAAACTTTCGGCTGCTGTTGTTGTTGTTGGGATTTTTTATTATTATTATTTTTTTTTTCTGGCATTTTTCTTCTCTGTGTAAAATGGAGGGAGGCAGCCCGAGGAACGCTCTGCAGCCGCGGACGCCCCGCGCCGCGCCGCCCGGCCTCTGAACGAGCGGAGCGGTACGGAGGGGCGGGCGGGGAGCACCGCTCTGCTCCTCTCGGCTCCCCCCGCCCGGTGGGCGCGGAGCCGCCGAGGCCGGGAGCGCGGGGACCCCGCGGCGGCCCCACCTGGGCTCGGGCTCCCGGCACGGATCGTCGCCCGCGGCGCTTTCGCTGCCGCTTGTGAAGATTTTTATTTGCTTCCGCACAATCACGCCCACGGGCGCTGTGTGCGTGTGTGTTGGGTTGGCTTTTTTTTTTTTTTTTTTTTAGGAGGGG